AATCCGGGTCCTCATTTTACCCACCTCGGAAGGATGGAAGGCTGAGTCAACCCTGAGCCGGTGAGATATGAACCGCTGAACTGCTGATCTAGCAGTAGCCTGCAGTGCTGCATTTAACCACTGCGCCACCTCGGCTCATGAGATGTCATCTCTCGCATTTGTAAGTTTTCAGCATCTACATTACCACATGAACCAGATGATGTATTTGATCAACGTCTCTTACCCTTGGGACTTGAAAAACTGCAGCAGCATAGGATCCGTATTAAGCCTTTGAGCCACGGTCTTTGCAACCTGAGAAGATAGAAGAAAAAGAAGGAGGAGGAGGAGGAGAAGAAGAGGGGGATGGTGGTGGTTGAGGAGGAGAAGGAGAAGAAGAGGAGGAGGAGGAAGTGGTGGTGGATGAGGAGAAGATAGAAGAAGAAAAAGGAGGAGAAAAAGAGGGGGAGTGGTGGTGGAGGAGAAGAAGATAGAAGAAGAAAAAAAAGGAGGAGGAGGAGGAGAAGAGGGGGTGGTTGAGGAGGAGGATAAGAAGAAGAGGGGGAGGTGGTGGTGGTGGTGAAGATAGAAGAAGAAAAAGAAGAAGGAGAAGAGGAGGTGGTGGTTGAGGAGGAGGAGGAGGAGGAGAAAGTGAGCTGCATTTGGGTAAACAATGGAACAGCTTTCCTCCCAGAGTTGTGGGTTTAAATATTATGATTTTATTTCATACCAGACCTGCTATTCAGCAGGTTCTGACCCGTTCTGGAGAACCGGTAACAGAAATTTTGAGTAGTTCGGAGAACCAGCAAATACCACCTCTGACTGGCCAGGCCCTCATCTATTCTCTGCCTCCCTAGTCCCAGCTGATCAGAAGGAAATGGGGGTTTTGCAGTATCCTTCCCCTGCCATGCCCACAGAACCGGTTGTAAAAATTTTTGAATCCCACCATTGCTCCATACCACATTATGAGAAAGGAGTAAGTACCTGAAAATAATTCATTCTGTTGGATAACGTGACCACAAAACCAGGATCATTAGGGATAGTTTTATCACAAAAGATGACGTCGACTCGGTAGTAGAGATCTCGGAAGTATTCTTTTGCTGTTGCTAATTCACTGTTGTCGTTTTCGGGGTCATCCCTTGTAAGCAAGAAAAAAAAATAATTAACTAAAAATTGCTGAAACAATGAAAGGATGATAAAAATCTGTAGCTCTTTGGTCAAACAAGAGCTAATCCTAACCCTAATTTCTAACAATGAACTACTAAAATAATGCACACATGCTAAAAAGAGCAAAAATGAGAGTGAACTGTTTTTGAAAGAATTTCACAAAAAATAATTGCAATTACATATTGTAGTCAGCCAACACAGTAGATTACTCAACTAAAACTGAAGATTTTGTTTTAAGTAAAGACCTCACTTAGAATGCTCTACCAGAGTATTTCAAGTAAACTGCATCCCACTAGAATGAAATTTGAGAAATGTTGGAGTGTTTCACCACGTAGTCGGTAAGAATTTGAAACAAATCCATTACTCCTTCAGTTTTTGTACAGAGGTCACAATAATGGATTCAGATGTGTTGGAACCCATATTGATTTGGGCTGCTGGGGCATTCCATTGGGAGAGCCTGGGATTGAAATTGTCAGAGCCCTTGCACAAAAACGGTTGCAAGCCTACTTTTGAAATACAATGATGTCACCGTCCATGAGTTCGTCAAGAGCTTTGTCGAGGGAAACATCATAGTCTTGAATTCTCTCTGTTAAATTCGGTTTAACTTCCTGGGGGGAAACAAACCCAAGAAATTAAGAGATTAGTTAGATTAGTTATCAGAAGTCATAAATAAGGAGAAATAGTTCATTTTCAATCCTAAATAAAATCTTTAGATATTTTTGTATAAGTAGCCACAGTACACATCAGGATTCTGCATCCTACTGTATGTTTAATCACTATTCCTTAAGGATAAAAATGTTCTTTAAACCATGCCCTGAAGATAACTTTTGAGTTATGAACACTAAGAAATGTATTCTGGCATTAGCTCTTAGGGATTGATGTGATTTCTATTTTGAAAAGAACGAAGGGGGAAAAAAGATTAGCCTCTGTGCTTCTCTTTTAATAATATTTTATGATAGGCTTCTCACAGCCTAGAAAAAGAAATGGGGATTTGTGCAGTGTTACAACCACAGATCATCTTCTGGTGTAATGGACTTAAAATTGGTACTAAAGGAAAGGTGGTTCGCAAGATTTCTGTAACCCAATTCCTCTTTCCCTTTCAATAAATCTGATAAAGGAAGACTTGAGTATTTTTATTTTCAGTTCTAAGTAGCTATTGATGCTACTGGTGTGATTCATTTTTAGAGGTTTGCCTGTTTTTCTGCTTCAATAAGAACCAACTAAGGCTCTTATACCACTGACAAATTTGTTATGACATGACTTTATGAAAATATTGTCAAATATTATCTTTGTTTTCAAAGGGATCACTCTTGGGTGGAAACACTGCAAAAAGCTAAGGCAGAACTTTAATTATATAGACTAACTGAGGCAAAGTACTGTTTATTACAACCACGTGATTTGCTTAACAACTAGGGTGACTCGACTTGTGACTGAAGTAAAAATTGTTGCAGAACAAATTGTTATTACAACCGCAACAATTTAGAACAGAAATTCCAATCTCAAGAGTGGTTGTAAGTCAAGGGCTACCAGTACACTATGCAATATTAAAAATGAGTTAAGTTTTTCCATGTGCCACAAAACTGCCTTTATTTATCTGAGGATATTGAATGCATGAAAGAAGGCAAATACACAAGGTGTTCCAAGATAATGTTCCAGGATCCAATCTGGGTCAATCACCAGAACCAGAGGTTTAGTCTTCTGAGCTTTCAAATTCATGCTGGAGCCCATCTTCAGGAAACTTCTCTTTCTTTCTTTTTTTTGAATTAAAGTTTTTTTATTTTTCCCTTTCAAATTCATTCACAAACATACATTCTTATAATTGCTATTTAACACTTGTCTATTGACCATTAGTCTCTATAATTATTTTTACAAATACCGTATTTTTCAGAATATAAGACGCACCAAAGTTTTGAAGAGGCAAATTTAAACAAAAAGTAGGTAGGTAGATAGAGATAGATAGAGATAGAGAAATAGAGATAGAGAGAGAAATACAGTAGGTAGGTAGGGAGAGAGAGTGTGTGTAGGTAAGTAGATAAGAGTGTGTGTAGGATAGATAGAGAGAGAAAAATACAGTAGACAGGTAGGAAGAGAGAGAGTAGGTAGGCAGAGAGACAGATAGAGAGAGAGGGAGAAATACAGTAGGTAGGTAGGGAGAGGAAACTTCTCTTTCTGTGCACACATTCTGGTGAGAAAGACATTCCTGATGATGGGCTCCAAAAAGTTTGGAAGTCAGAAGACGAAACCTCTGGCCCCAGTGACAGACCCAGGCTGGATCCAGCAACATTGAATGCAGTTTCTAACTCATTGCTGCATTTAAAATTGCACCATGCTCCCTCTGACCCCCTTTTCAACACACTCCCTTTTGCTGATGTTGCTGGATGGGGACACTTTAAGGGTGCTCCAGAGCTTTGCTCATTGGTATCTTTCCAAGTTTACATGTTTTCCTAAATCCACACAATAATTGCATGATTTCAGGAAAACATGTGTATGAATTTAAGAAAATGCTTAATTTGCAAAGTTGTCGGTACTGCATGGCAACCACAACCACTCTGAAACATCTTTTTAGTTTTTGCTCCTCTGTGATGCAGATCCCTTAACAATTCCCAAGCAGCATGCTTAACAGCACATTGCAACTATTTGCAATTGAACTATTTATAATTTTTCCAACCTCTAAATAAAAGAAAGAGACTTAACGCAGATCATTAGCTATTAGTACCCCAAATTTAACTGAAGGTCTGGATGAACAGCTGTATCTCAGTTTGCCCCAGAGGCTTGTAAAATTTGGACACAGTACTTATGATACCTTCAAGGGGAAGGATATAAGGAACTTGAATTTAGCTTGGCATTGCAGTTTCCCTAAAGCAGAGGTGGGGGAACGAAGGCTCCTTTACGATTCATGGATTTCAACTCCCAGAATTCCTGAGCCAGCATGGGAATTGAAGTCCACAAGTCCTAAAAGGGCCTTGGTTCCCCACCCCTGCCTTAAAGCAACACTTTAGCAACCTAGTCGAGTGTTTTACACCAGCTGTACCTTCCGGTCCCACTCCACAGACAGCATAACATTGCAGGTCTTGAAATCAATAGTAGGTAAATTACTAGGGCCAGTCCTAAATGCCAATTTGGAGATGAAGATAATCTACTGCCCACAAGCAGCACTCGTAACAAGAGGAGAGCAATAGATACTTAATGATAGAGCTCTTGTTATGTGTTAGCACATTAGTTCTAGACATAAATGGCAACTTTTCTAGGAGAGCGTAAAATGTTTTGGATGCAAAACAATTGTTCAGAGTTCAAAGTGGCTATTTCAATTTCACAGAAGTAGTACAACAGTATTTAATTAGGTGAGGTGCTATCAATTGAGTCTGCCAGTCCAACCTTGGCCATTTTAAGACTTGTGGACTTAAAGCATGGCTGGCTGGGGAATTCTGGAAGTTGAAGTCCACAAGTCTTAAAGTGGCCAAAGTTGGAGAGCCCTGTTATAGAACGTGTAGTATAGCAGGACATCACTTGTAGCTTCCATGGTCTCTTGTCCACAGGGATCTGGAAGTACTGAAATGCTTTCCTGAGGCCACAGCAACCCATTTCAAACTCAAAATAATTTGCTACGTCTGATTTTTCCAACAGCCCTAAAACTTCAAATGCACTAATCTCTATGCCAAGTTTTACTATGCAAAATGATCAATTTTTCAAATGAATTGTTACAAGATGCATTTCATTATGCTGCTATTTTTTTGCTATTTTTTTAAATAAAAAAAACTCTCCTTGAAAAAAATTCAAATCGTTGATTGGAACATTATTTGGAAAAACTGCCAAACCTTGCAATTTGATCCAACTATTTGGAAAAATGAAGACACATTTTAAAGAAATGTGTTCATATTTGGATTGCTCCAAGTTTATTTTGCTGTAAAGACATTCATTCACTCTGACAATATATCATAACATTCAGCCTATTTCCCCCCCAAGATAAATGTCTCAAAGAATAATTCTACTTTTAAAGAAAAAGTAAATAAATGGCCCAAACCTCATAGAGGATAAGATTAGATTCTTGGGGAAATCCTGCTCTTTCACACATAACTGGCAGCAAGTCACCTTTGGAGGAAGAACAGAAAATATATATATACATATTGCAACTTCTGCTTCTTTGGAAAAATATTGCATCTAGAAATCACTTTAATTATCTAATGTTGTGGTTTAGCTCAGAGATCAAAACTATAGCTCAAAATTAGCTTCTCTCACCTTCTTTCACAGATTCAGCAATTAGAGGCCATGTCTGCTATCCTATATTTAACGAGTTCAGACAAATATATAATCTGAAACTACAGAATTCTATTATGCAAAGCATAATATGTGGGGTGGAATAATTTCTTTCTTTTGGCTTAACACAATTCTTAGGGGGCTCCTTAGGAGTGACAAAAACATCCCAAACTTACGTATTTTGCAGGATATAGGTGTGTAGATATGTCCACAATAATTCAAACTTCGTGTCTTTGGATCATACATTTTCAGGAACAGCATCACATCGTCTACAAGAAAGTAAAGACGATTTTCAGAGAAGAACAAAATCTCCATTTGTGCCCGAGCTGTATATATTTCAACTGATTATATTTTGTGTAATGTAAAATATAATAAGAGAAATGTTTGGTATTTAATGATTCGGATTGTAGTTTTATCCTTCTCAAATGATTAATAAATCAGCCATATAGCCAATCTTAATTGTACTTTCAATCAAAATACAGTAAATTTATTCAATCTTAAAACTATTTGTTTAAAACAAATCATGTTGCAACAGATGGAGACAAGAGCCAGGACTAGTCCATTAACTGATCAAAATCCAATTTTTAATATCTTTTCTTTTCTTCTGAACTGTTTCCAGTTCATCAGTCTCGATATATCATGCAGTTAAAGAATCAATTTAAGAATGTCCCTTCCTTCTTTTCGCTCATCTTAAAAGGAAAATAAAACTGGTTTAAGCTTGTTTTTAGGGTTTACACCACACTATTAATCTAGTTCAGGGTTCCCCAAGGGGTCAGTGGGACAATCCAAGGGGTTGATAAATGGCCGAAGATCAAAACGATGATCCAAAGCCATTTGGGGTCAATTAGAGGGTCACTATAAGGAGGTCTGCACCATCCCCTAGTCCTGAAGGTGATGTGCCTAATGGCAACTACAACTCCCAAAATTCCCCAACCAGCACGGTGAGATAGTATCACCCAGGATTGCATTGACAATTACCAGTAAGAGCAGCCATGATTTCAATTTTAAACTTCTTGAAGGTGTCTATCAGCAGGAGTTTGAGGACCCTGTCCTAATTCTTGTTTTAAAGGGGCATGAAACTGTTCCCCTGGTGTTCAGGATACATTTGGGGAGTGGGGGGCTTCAGAGGCTGTCAATCTGGAACTGGGGGTCAAAAGGGGGCTATCCACAAGGCTCCTTTTGACCTGTATTTCTCAACCACGGCAGTTTAAAATGTGCAGACTTCAATTCAGATGAGGCCTCTGCGTCTAAGGCAGAGAGCGGGACAGGGCCGTCTGGGAGTTATGTGCTGCTTCTGGAGCCTCCAGAGTCAGACCTCAGTGAGGAAGAGGAACAGGGGGAACCTGTTCCCAGTGCGCGCATGCGCAGAGCTGCCAGAAGGCAAGATCAGTTAAGACAAAAAGGGCGACTCGGGAGTAAGGCTCGCTGATTGGCAGGGAGCTTTGTTCGTTCTGGTCAGTTTACATTCTGAAGCTCCGTTTTGACTTTTTGCTCCGTGTGGCCTTGCCAAACTGCCAATTAGGTCTTTGGCAGCGTTTCAAGGAAGATAAAGGTGGGTGCTTATCAGCCTTATCCCGAAAGACTTTGGCAGCCTACTGTCGGACTCTTTACAAACTATTTGTGACTCATTACAGGTTGTGAATGAACATAGATCACAGCCTTTAAAATAAAAAGAGGGTTTTGTGGAGTAAGCGTGTACTTCTTATCAGGAAGCCTAGGTCAGAACACATTTCATCAATACAAGCAGCTTCGAAATCCTACAATCTAAAATGCTGACTTTTCTATGGAATGGAAGATGGCCGTATTACTCACTTTGGCCTGAAACTTGCAAGCCACGGGACTTACGGTCTTTGTCGAACTTGGGTAATGTTGCTCCCGTAGCAGCCATTTCTGGATCTACTGTTTCAAGGAATATTGTCCATGGGTTTTCATTGTCGCTGAGCTCAATCATCTGTGAGCGATTAATAAAGGAGAAAGAAATAAGCAATGAGTGCAACATAGTCAGAGGAAGGAACAGGTAGTATTACATCTGCATCAGTGAAGAAAAGCAGGTTTAAAGTATTTTTAATAATTCAAATGTTGCACTGGATTAGCAGAAACATGGGCTTAAAATTTTGCTATAACTTGGGGGAGGATGGCCTTCATCAGCTAGTCTAATCTAGGGCTCTGGATTTTGAATTTTTGTCTTGTCAAGTATTTAAATCCTGGCATTCTTCCTAGGTCCAACTAATATTACACCTAAGACAGGACTAGAGCTCACAATCTCCTGATTTCTAGACTGGTGTGTCTTAGCTATGTTGGCTCTCAATCTAGAGCATATGTAAATTTAAAATATTATTTAGGTTCCTTGGTTTTTTTTTTTTTAAATGTACTAAATGTACTAATTTTTGTCATGCACTTTTCAATGCAACAGAATTACCTGTGCAAAATGTTATGTATCTATCTTAAGACGACTGTGGAGAAATGAAGAATATAATAGAATGGAATAGAATATTTAGAAGGGACCTAGGAGGTCTTCTAGTCCAACCCCCTGCTTAAGCAGGAAACCCTATACCATTTCAGACAAATGGTTATCTAATCTCTTCTTAAAAACTTACAGTGTAGGAGCATTCACAACTTCTGGAGGCAAGCTGTCCGACTGATTAATTGTTCTAACTGTCAGAAAATTTCTCCTGAGTTCTAAGTTGCTCCTCTCCTTGATTAGTTTCCACACATTGCTTCTTGTTCTACCCTCAGGTGCTTTGGAGACTAGCTTGACTCCCTCTTCTTTGTGGCAGCCCCTGAGATATTGGAAGACTGCTATCATGTCACCCCTAGAATAGGTGAAATGAACTCATTTGGAATCGGACAAGACTTCAGAAGTCATATTTCCTCTCTGATGTGCACTCACAGTTTTATTGCCATCAGCTTCATTGTCTAACATGGCCGGTCTTTTTGTCCCATTGCTTCGTGCTTGCATCGGCCACAACCGTATCTGATCTTGCGGGAAGCCCTACGAATTTTTTAAAAAAGCAAACAAACATGATGACTGGAAAAATATAAGTCATTACAAGATCACTGTTGGGTTTTCAATGCCCAAAATGATGAAATTATTCTATGCAAAAAAAAGGGTCAGGGACTAAATCGCTACCTCCTCCTGCAGAAGCTCACCATTGTTTGGGAAAGATTTTGAACAAATTCTGTCAGTGTGGAATTCTTCAAGACTTTGAACACTGTGTACTTCACTTTTTCTTCATCGTACATGTCATTGCCTTGATGGCCACAGAACTGGTCCTCTGTTACTATCTGAAATTACACAAGCATTGGGTTAGTGCAGAGGTCCATAAACTTGGCGACTTTAAGACTTGTGGACTTCAACTCCCAGAATTCTCCAGCCAGCTCTGGAGAAGTTTGAAGACATCGGGGTTAGCGAAACCACATGGATCACAATGGGAGCCTTCTCTATTTCCACAACGATGGGCACTTTAGAAGTCGAACATTTGTGCTCTAGCTTCTAGTTCCTCTCAACTATATTTTTTGGGGTGGGTGGGAATACTACAATCTAACTCTGAAATGGGTCTGATTATTACAGAGCTAACACCTTTTATGAACTTCTGCCTAGCAGGGCATACAGATAGTCCTCGAGTTACAACAGTTTTAGTGACTGTTCAAAGTTACAACGGCACAAGTGACTTATCACTGTCAATTCTGCTGAATGTAACTTGAGTTACATGCCTATTTAACTAAGCCATCGTAAACAACCTTTAAGAACATATTTTTTTTCAAATACAGTTGTTCATCACACTATATTATTACATGGTATCAGTTTTTATGAAAAGAGTTGAAATCTAAGGGCAAGAAGTGTGCTGCTGAAAGTGTGCTAATAGGTTCTTTAAAGGTTGTTTATGGTGGCTTAATTAAACAGGCATGTAACTCAGTTACGTTCAGCAGAATTGACTGAAACCAGGTTATGACTTACGACCGTTTTTCATACTTATCATACTTATGACCATTGCACCATCCCTCATAGTCATGTGATCAAAATTCGGATGCTAGGCAACTGGTTCATATCTATGACTGTTGCAACACCCTGGGGTCATGTGATACTTTTTTGCGACCTTCTGACAAGCAAAATCAATAGGGAAGCCAGAGTCAGTTAACAATTTTCTTACTAACTTAACTACAGTGATTTACTTAACAGACGTGGCAAGAAAGGTCGTAAAATGGGGGTAAAACTCACTTAAAAAAATATCTCACTTAGCAACACAAATTTTGGCCTCAATTGTGGTCATACGTCGAGGACTACCTGTAATCTCTGAAAACTGCCTGGCAGATACAAATGAGTTGGGGCTGCCTTTTGCAGGCACTTGCAACACCTGGACACAAGGGGGCTCCCTAAGGCAGGCAGAAAGAGGCAAGGTAGACTCTACCTTTCAAATCCAACCACCACCATCCTCCATAAGTGGAAAGGAAAAGGATTCTGTATCAAATTAACTAATGCGCAGCAAAAACATTTCGTGCAGAAAACATCAACTTTACTAATGGGCATGAGAGCTTTCTTGTCTCCTCTTGATATTAGGCCATCATTGGCGAACTTAGTTCTCCTCCCACAGTATCTACAATGAGAGGAACTTTACTATTACCCATCAAGTATTGATTGAAACACATCAAGTAGCTTTAACTCTCCCAGTTGACCCAGTCTTAGTTCTATATTAACTATGTTCCCCTTAGCATCAAATGCAAGTGGAGGAGAGCTACTTTGAGAAGTTGGAAAAATGTATTAAGGTTAATTATGAGTGTAAATCAACTGGTCACGTACTCCTTTGATGTTCCTTTTACAGAGAGATTCAGAAAAAACTTAACTTTCCAATAATTGCTAGGTATCCTGGCCATTCCGACACTGCTTATCTCCAATGGCTGCTTAAGGACAAATAGTCTGGAATTACAGCAGGGTGGCCAGATTCTGCGCAGCAGCACTGGGGATTTGGAACGAGCTCCCCGTGGAGATTCGGACGCTTGCCACCCTTCAGGCCTTCCGGACAGCCGTGAAGGCCTGGCTGTCCCAGCAAGCCTGAGGTTGAGTCCCCCCCCCCCCTCGAATTTGCTGTGCTTGCTGTGCTTTTTTAAACTGTTGTATCACTGTCCTGTTTGTCTTACTTTCTGTATTTGTTTTTCCCCTTCCCCTGGTTTTTGTTCAGCCGCCCTGAGTCCCTTCGGGGAATAGGGCGGCTTACAAATCGAATAAATACCAAATACCAAATTTGTTCGAAACACGCGTCAAACCCACCATAGCTATTTTATACAACAAATGCGGCAAACCCCTTGCCCTGCTTTTTCCTTTCCCTTTTACTATTAAACTGACTACAGGCCCCACAGTTTATGGCTTGTGATTTTAGTACAGTTAGACCATGCACAATTGACAGACTGGATTTTATCCGTTATTTATTCTTTTATTCTAGATTTTTTTATTTGTTCTGGTCTCTGGTCGTAATCAATAAATAAATTCTGAAATACTGTAAACATAAAGAAAAACAATGCAGCCCAGATGCTTAAGTTTCTACCATAGGAAGCAGTGCTGAAAAATATTCAAATGACTAGATAGCCTGGAAGAGGAGACAGCAATCAAACCGCCTTTAGAACTGTTGGTCTCCATGTGCCAGCTGGAGAGAAGAAATGCTGTAGAGCACCAACGCGGATAAAGATAAGAGTTGGTACTACTCAAGTTACCGCCACAATTGAGCCCAACATTTCTGTGGCTAAGTGAGACATTTGTTAAGTGAATTTTGCCCCATTTTATGACCTTTCTTGACATGATTGTGAAGTGAATCGTTGCATTTGTTAACAGTTGGTTTCATGATTGCTGGATTCCCCCTTGACTTTGCTTGTCAGAAAGTTGCAAAAGGAGATCATATGATCCCAGGACACTGCAACCATCATAACTGGTTGTTGAGCATGTGAATTTTGATTGTGTGACTTCAGGGATACTGCAATGATTGTGTGAAAAACCGCAAATCACTTTTTTCACTGCCATTGCAACATTGAACTGTCGCTAAATGAACTGTTGTAAGTCAAGGAAGTGGTTCCTTGATACTCAACTGCTTTGAAACCCATTGAATTTGGTGCACAACACCTTTTGACACGAAAATTTTGTCCATCATTTGTGTGGTACTCAACACACAAGCTAGAACATGTCAGTATCCGCTGCTTTGTGACTCACCACATTATTCCTTGTGGGAAAATTTTGTTTGCTACTCAATGATCCTCCCAGAACCAATTAACAATGAGCACCAAGTTACCACTGTTCATCAAATCAACTTCCACGGCTTATACTTAAGTCTTAAGGGGAGAATCTGCCCCGCATCACAAAGATTTGGGTTGGGAATGACAAGAGTCCCCTGAGCCACAAACTCAACCAGACTTAGGGATGAACTTTTAGCCTTGGCTGGTTCAGTTATTAGGATAAGAATGACCCGCATCCAGATGGAAGGGGTGAGAAAGAGGTCCAACGAAGGGAAAATGAGCAGAAACGATGTAGAATATCCAAGGCAGCTCCTTCTCCAAGCTCACCTGTACTTGCATATAGAGATGGGCTTCTTGCCTCTCCTTTCTCTTTTGGGCCTCTATTCTTTTTTCTTCCTGCAATCGTTCCACCAGCTGCTGAGGAATATCATGATCTGTGACTGCTTGCAAAACCTCACCTGCAAGAGATACAACATTGGCATTAGGGGAGCAGAACAAAACAGCCAATGACTTTTGGATGGTCATTTGGTCCATCCCTTAATCCATCCATCGCATTTGAGGGACTGCCTCTCACCAAACATATCTACCCAACCCATAAGGTCCAGGAACATGGGAAGGGCTGGTCAACCTATATTCTAAAGCACCAGAAGGCAAGACAAGAAACAATGGATGGAAACTAATCAAGGAGAGAAGCAATCTAGAACTAAGGAAAAATTTATTGACAATGAGAATAATCAACCAGTGGAAGGACTTCCATCCAGGAGTTGTGGGTACCCCAACACTGGAGTTTTTTACGAAGAGGCTGGACAGTCATTTGTCCAGATGTTTTCTGCTTGGGCAGGAGGTTGGACTGGAAGACCTCCAAGGTCCCTTCCAACTCGTTTATTCTGTTATTCTGAATGTGGCAGGCACTGTCCAAGAAGGAATATCATCTGATGGGACATCTAAGGAATGCTCCAGCATCCATCCTCTGAAATATTTTCTTAGCAGTCCTCTCTCCCCACTCCTGGTCTTTTGGAAGAGCCTAAAATCTTGGCTCTTTTCCTTGGCCTGGGCCCTGACAATGGTCTGCCACATTGGGGGTGGATGAAGGGTAGAGAAGATTCTCACCCAGGATGTCCATCATCTTGGTTCTTTTAATCTTTTAAATTGTTTTTAGAGCTTTTAACACTTTTTATAAAATTGTAAGTTGCCCGGCTTGCTGTATTAGTGAGTTGGGTGCCCAGAGATTAATTAATTAGGTGAACAAGAGGCCTGATTCCTGCCTAAGATACCTTTGTATGTTCTTCAAGACAGCGGAATTCATTAGCCTCTCTTTCATAATACAAACTGTATCGTAACAGAGGGATTGTGGCAATCCTTTCAAGTCAGTTTTCTATCAGAAATGATGAACTATTTGCATTGGTGAACTGCTAGAAAGAACTTTAGTATTTGAAATGTCACTCTTCCAGTTAACACTATTTATTTATACTGTTAGCAATCTTTTAAACACTACGATACAACATTCCTTTGCAATGTTAAGCTTCTTAACCACGATTTCTTAACAGCTGCAGATTGACTGCAGATTCCACGAAGTACTGCCCAAACTGACATCAGGAAGACTGCTAATCACACGTCATCCTTTTTTAAAACAGAGGATACAAATTATTGCATCTCTGAAGGTCAGCATTTTCTTCAGTGGGATTTTAGAAATGTTTCTGTACTCAGTATGCCACATACATTATTTGTGCATGTCTTCATCTGGAGAGAGAGAGATAAATTTAAAACAAGAAGCAGAGCTTCAGACAAATTCATTCTGGATTCTTGAGCTGCCAATAGCTTAAGCCTTGTACTTATTTATTGATTAGAAGCAGTTTATTTTGATTTCAGCTTTTTTAACTGCTCTGGAGACCATATGATATCTAGTAGTTTTTTTCAATCCCTATTTGAAAGTTGAGTGTCCAGGAATCAGGCTTCTTAAATACTCTTCCTTTTTCACAAAAAGAAACCTAGCAGATACCACCTTAAAAATATACTTTAAGTAATTAGAGAAACAATTAACACTCTTCTTATAATTGTAAATCTCATTTGCCTTCCCTTCATTTTCAACATCACAGTTTTTGCAAACGTGGTTTCAGAAGTGCAAAATGTGAGATGGCTGTTAAACACAGCATGGAGAAAAACAACATTCAGGCCTGTTTTACATTTCAACAGTCTGTAGAACAGACGACTGGTGCACCTACTTAGTTTTGACTCCCTGATATAAACCAACATGTATGCGTTGGTGCAGTGCCGCACAGAGAGGTCATCATCATGGCCTCCATAGTTATGCTCAATTGCTTCTTCTTTTGTACATCTAGATACAACGTCGTCATCAAATTTACACCACTGTGAAAATAAAACAATGAATTCAAAAACTGCAATATGCAGAAAGTATTCAATAGAACGTTCATGTTCTAAATTTTAGAAACTTACACTTAAACTTATTCTAATTTTATCTAAGAACTGCAAACTGCCTGTAGCAAGCAGACCCAGCTATGTAGCTCAGAACTGACAAGCCTCAAGTTTGATACTGGAGCTTCTCTGAGTTGCTAGGGCTGATTCTAGACTGTACAAGCCAAGGAAAGTCCCAGAACTGATCCAGTTTCTCCTTGCTTGTTCCTTTGTACTGGAACTGTTTCAAATCCCTCTTGCATGTTAAACGTAGCATATAGAAAGAAGATTGCATGGCTATTTCTTAAAAAAAACAACTTAATATCTAGCATAATAAAAATATTTGGTGTAGCAGCACTTAAATAGAAACTATAGATTATTCAAGTTATTAAAACAGCCCCCCCCCCCCCCCCGCATCTGATAAAAAGGCTGATAACTTTTCTAAAATCTCAGTTAACCTTCCACAATTTTCAAGACATTATATCTGGGGGAAAAATATATCATTCCTGATGCTAAAATTGTTAACAGGTGCTTCATTCAAAGAATTTCCAGTTAAATACCTGATGGTTTTTCTATGACTTACTTTTCCATCCCCCTTTGGGTTCAAGTAAACAACATAATGCCCCCCATGGTTGTCACCACTGTGTACGAGCACTGCGTGAAGAATATAATTTGCAGCATCTTTAGGATCAGTTTTTTGCAAGAATTCATCCAGAGGCAACTGATCTGGAAATTCAAACCTTTTACAAGAATAGAAAAAAAAAGAATTACACGGGGTTTGGAAATGCATGCAGTAATCAAGTTCTGTGCAACTCATAAGTGCATCATATTTGAGAGATCAGTTGCATTGCTAGGTTTCTTATTAAGTATAGGTCCCAGACAATTTTATCTCTTTACTGCAGAATTTTTGTGCTGTCTATGATTGTTTGTTAAGTGCCTGGAGTTGTAAAAGAGGGAGGGAGGGAAGAAGGGAGGAGGGAGGGAAGAAAGAAGGAAAAAGGAAGGATGGTGGGACGAAGGAAGAAGGGGGGGACAAAGAGGGAGAAATAGTAGAAGTTTTCCTGTTGCAGGTTCTGAAATCAGTTTGCCAAATGCAGAAAAATTTCAGCTTTATCTTTTCCCCATCTTCCCAATTCCATGAAGATTGAGGTTAGAATGTATTTGCAGCAATCTCATAAATTTTAGTCTTGTTGCAAAAGCTAAGGAGTCTACAAAGAAAGCTGAGCTTTTCTACATCATTTACCAAAAGGACAGAACATGGAGAGGAATGGCCTTCTGCCAACTCACCTCACTAGCCCACTTCTCGTTTATTTATTTATTTATAGCCCATGATTCTACCAACTTTACTTGGCGAAGAACAGAAATTGTCTATTAGTGAAAGCATTTATGGAAAGCATGAGGGCTCTTCTTAAAATCTAGGGTGGGGAGGGAGGGACAGCAGTCCCGTCCCTGAAGTTTCCTGCTTGGTACAAAAAGCTCAAGAGAGGACAGCTCTGAAGACTGTGAGGTTTGTTGTCCCAAATGTGCTTTTTCAGGAGGCAACAGGACTTTGTTTTTTTTTTCTTTGAAGACATTTTGCTTCCCATCCAAGAAGCCTCTTCAGCTCTGATGGTGGGGGAATGGAAGGATTGATACTCCTTGCGGACATCTAGTCATTTGCATCCTTTCCCACACACATTTACACCACTCAGCTGACCCTGATGACACAGATAAACCTCCAGGTGACCTTAACTCCGCTAAAAGGATGCAAATGACCAGCTATCTGCAAGGAGTATCAATCCTTCCATCCCCCACCATCCTCTCAGAGCTGAAGAAGCTTCTTGGATGAGAAGCATAAAGTCTTCAAAGGAAAACCAGGTAGTCCAGTGGCCTCTTGAAAAAGTACCTTTGGGACAACCATGACCTGGATGACAGAGAATCTACACAGACATCTGAGGCATGTTGTAACGTAAGCAAGATCCCAGGATTCCAGTTAGCGTCTTCCATTTGCTCAAAGTGAACTATTCGGGATTATGTATTACTGCTCCCTAGGCAACCAGGACCCTCTGACATGCAGCCACCAGCTATGGTGCAAAGTTATCCTCATCTGTTCAGTAGCAATTGAAACATACACACACTCATTAGGATCCTAAGGGTCACCCATAAATATGTCACCTGTCGTTTATTTTGATGTTCTGGTCCGTTTGGGGATCGTACATGAAACGCATGAGCTGTAGGTGCAGCACTGGTGGCAACGTGAGGAATTTCACCCCTTTTTCTGCCTCCTGAGGTCGAGCAGAGAGAGACACAAATGCACAATTGAGTTACACATCACCCCTGAAAAACCGGTTTTCAACCAGAATGGCGAAATGGGCCCCCAGCTTGCCATAAAACAACTTACAGCTGTTCATTTAGTGACTGTTCAAAGTTAACAACCCCACTGGAAAAATTGACATGACTGTGCTTCTCACTTATGACCATTGCAGCATCCCCACGTCACTGGTTCATATTTACGACCGTTGCTGTGTCCTGGGGTCGTGTGATCCCCTTTTGGGGCTGGAGGGTGCGGGTAGGTGGGTGGAAGGATTAATTCTGACAGGAGCCAGTAACTAATCGCTCCATCCTTCCCCCCCCCCCCCCCCCCCCC